TCCGCGCGCACCCTCGGGGCCGAGGATAGAGGGCGCAAGGACGTGGACGCTTCAGGGCCCTGGCGAGGCCGCTAGCCCAGTGGCTTCCAAACCTGGAGGGTAGGCCTATTTTCTTTATTCCCCGAGTGACCACTGTGCAGCGAAGTGTGGAAACCACTTGGCTTCAGAGAGCTGGGTCCCCTGGAGCAGTTCAGGGTCACCACAGAAGTAGGCCGTCTCTTAGGCCTATTCGCCCCAGCTTCGAGGTGGTGGTGCTTTATTAGTGTTATTAAGGTAATGAGTAGCAACTGGGAGCAGGTGACGAAGGTGATCCCATTGTAAGAGAAACGCTAAAAAGGGTTAATCCGCTTGATACAAACAGCGTCCTTTTTGTCTTTTAACTCCCTGCATTGGTTCGAGGAAGCTGAATTACCTAGGATTCCCCCTGCGGAGATATCTTTAAAAAGTGCTGTCATTCTTACAGGGGCACATGTCATCTTGGGTGCCTTCTCACCTCCTTCCTACTCCCTACAAATAAGTTCAGTGTTTTCATAATCTCACCACTCCTCAGCGTTCTCTTCGTTCAGGTGCACACCACTGGTACACTCATTGGTTGGGTTACTGCCACATCCCATTCATCCTGAACATCGACGCCAGGTTATTACTCTCCTCCAAACCGGGCTTCCTCCTATCTCTATGCAGAAGACCTTGAGTAACAGCTCACTGCCCCGAGATAATGTGTCTTCTCTTTACCAAAGCCTTCACTCCTTTTCATTTAGAAGCTCAAGTCCAGGCTCACTTGGCTTAAGGAACTTCTGACTCCAGCCTCCTTCCTTACAGAAAAACCTCCAGGTCCTTCCAGCCTGGCCACAGAGCCTTTTCCTCCCAACAGCAGCCCACAGGGACCTCTCCAACCCTAACCTCCTAGGGTAACGTTGCTAGTGCATCTCATTTGATACAGTACTCCCTTGAAACATGAAAACTGAATCTTAAGTCTCCATGCAAACCCTCTGCTCTTTGCCTCCCACCAGGGGCTAACAGAGCACTCTAGAAGGTGTTCGACAATTACTGAAGAATGAGTGAATACAGTAATAAAGAATGCTTTTTCACATGTTTCCCGAAGTTAAGGTCTGAAAACTACTTGTATTGACGTCATCTGGGGCACTGTTTTACAATGCAGACTCCTGGTCTCGAGTCTACACCTAGGCAAGACCCAGAAATGTGCATTTTACCCAGAGCCTCGGGTGATTCTTAGGCTAAGTTTGAAAACTACTCCAACTAAATGTAAAAGTCTTGAATTTTTTCCCGCCTAGAGACATGTTAAGATAAATGCCTAATGAAGCTACTAATATTGTCAGTGAATAAAAGGAAGACCACTGGAGCCCCCGAGGAGCTAATGCAACTACTATTTCATATCAAATAAGCTTGTTGCCTTTGTCATACAGGAATATTGTTTGCCAATTTTTTAAATTCAATACATTTCCATTGTTTTTATTTTTGCAGTTAACTTCCATTTTTGCCAGGCAGGACTGATTTTATAGTCAAGCAATGATGATATAAAAAATTCTCTTCAAATTAAGTGAAAAAGCCAATGTAAAGAAGGTGAGAAATAATAAGATAATAAAAGAAAGATGTGACCAAAGTCATGAGGGTGCTATATGAAGGCACGTGTATCAGTTAGGATTAGATTCTCCAGAAGTTAATAAGAACTCAGATTAACAGTAAATTAAACACACACGTTTTATTCTGTCACCTATCTGGAGGTAGGCAGAATAAAGCTCTTAGGACAGGTTCCTGAATTTATCAGGGACCCAGGCTCCTTCCAGTTCTTTGCTCCACCTGATCTTGAGTGTACCCTTGTCCTCATGATCCAAGAGGGTTGCAGAAGCTTCAGCCTTCATGTCTGCATTCCAGAAATCACAATGGGAGAAGAGGAATAAAAAGAGGATGCTACCTCTCTTTTAAGGATACTTCCCAGAAGGTCTACACAACATTTCTATATATGTTTCACTCACCAGAATTTAGTCACATGGCCAAATGTGGCTTTCAAGGGAGGCAAGGAAATATACCTGGCCAGTGATGTGCCCAGATAAAACTCAGGACAGTGTTACTAAAGAAGGTGGGGAAAGTAAATGTTCAGAAGCAGTTAGAGATCTCTGTCAGAGTATGATGCCCAATTCTGGCCACTGAGTTGTAAGGAAACCTCTGCTATGACAGATCTCTCTATTCTTAAAACAAGAGACATGGGAAAAGATGGTCCCTTTCAGTCTTTAGATATTTTGGGGTCTGGATATGATTGCTGGAATTTCCGATACCTAGCACACTGAAAATGGAGTCATTGGAGTCAGAAGACTCCAGAGAACTACAGAGAAGAGAAACCTTGGTATATTATTTTTGGAGCCATCCTCTGCCCTTTCTGATATTAGAGATGATTAATTTCCTATTATTTAAATGATATTGAGTCAGATTTTTACTTGCAACCAAGGGTTTCTATTTTAAGGAGTGATCATTTCAAACTTTAGGACACAGGCCAAAGAGCACTATAATAACAGGTTTTTGCTTGAACACTTATTAGAGTCATTCTATATTTTGTATTGTTTTATTAACATAAAGTGAAGTTATGCTGAGGGAGTAGGCTTACAGGAAAAAGCTCAGATAAGCAAAAATAGTTTGTTGTAAAACCCTGATAACCTAAGGGCCTCTGGATTAGATCACCTGAAAGTCATTCTATGTATTATGTAAGCCAGTTTGAGTTGAGTTTTCTGTTACTTGTGCCAAAAGCATCTTAAATCAGGGATTTTCAAACTTTAATGAGCATTCAAATCACGTAAGGATCTTTTTTTTTTTTTTTTTTTTTTTGAGACAGAGTCTCCCTCTGTCGCCCAGGCTGGAGTGCAACGGCGCAATCTCGGGGTTTTTTTTTGTATTTTTAGTAGAGACAGGGTTTCACCGTGGTCTCGATCTCCTGACCTTGTGATCCGCCCGCCTCGGCCTCCCAAAGTGCTGGGATTACAGGCGTGAGCCACCGCGCCCGGCCACACCTAAGGATCTTGATAAAAGGTAGATTCTGATTCAGCAGGGTGAGGTGGTGCCAAAGAGTCCACATTTTAACAAGTTTCCAGGTCATGCCAAAGCTGCTGGTCCACAGATGACATTTTGAATAGCAACATTCTGCTACTTAATGTGAGGATCTTTCCACCTCGGTATTGCTGCCTTACTGTCCACCATAGAGAGGGCCAGGTGAGGATGTGCATGGAAGGGCTAGCTTTGAAGATACACCAGAGCTAAAGGTCTGTATCTGGGGAGAAATCTAAAATGGAGGTAAATACTGATTCCAGAAGTTTGAACCATGCCATGGGTCACAAGTTCTAGTGGCAAGCCACAGAGAATCAGTAAGCTAAAGGGAGGAGATAAAGGTGCTTACACTATAGTAGATATGCAAGCACAAGGCAGGAAAAGAGGTGAAGCAGTGCAGTGAATCAGAATCTTCAAGGTGATGATTCTTGTGCACACTGAAGTTTGGGAAGCACTGGCGCTTTAAATGGGGGTTGTTTTCTTTCTTTCTCTTTGTGACTGGATTACTGAGTTTTAAACCTGTGTTGATTTGTTGCAGAGCAGAGACCTCACCAAGATGCAGTAGGCAAGGGGGTAGAGGAATATGAGTCCTCCAAAACATACTTACTCTGTGCACAGCACAACACAGCGATCCTGATAAAATAAATGGGCATCCTAAAGCAAGGTGATCTACTTTACATATGTTCGCTAACTTTTCAGTGTTCTTCTTAGTATAATTTCAAGAACAGTATTAAAGATTTACACAAGAGAAGATGAAAACAGATGTGGTTTTTCTAGAGAATTTTTAAAGCTGCATAAGATGTTCAAGATGAATAATTCCCGAATCGCCAATTCCAAGTGCTGTTATAATACAGATGTCTTTGCAGTCATTTCATAGCAGTTTTTAATTCTGTCCTAAAAATGAAGCACATTGACACCCTACATATTTTCTTCATCTAACAGTTTTGTTTAGATATGTTTTAAAATAGAAGATATAGTCCCATTTCTTAAGGGTTACAAATGGAATTCCAAGGACTATCCCAACTCCTGTTAACAATAGTTTTCTGTGGGGAATGTAACTCAGTGAAGGTTATTTTTTTGTTTGTTTGTTTGTTTTTGTTTTTGTTTTACCCTTAGGCACAAATTAGCTTTTCAATTTTAAAAACTAGCTTAATTTTTAAAAATGTATCTTCACT